AAAAAAAGCAGAACAACATTTTTCATCCTAGACACACCCCTCCCTCCCCCCCCCCCTCCCCGTCATAAAAATCAAATGGTAGTTCCCTAAAGTAAATGCAACAAATACAGGCCATATTTGTTTATAAATCAACCATCCTAAATATATCCTAAAGTTAGGACCATCCTAAGACCATCTTAAGACACCTAAATTGGTATCCTAAAGTTAGGACAATTCCTACGATTTTCCTAAGTTACGACATGTTTGATAAACCCACTTAGGATTAAGATATGTCCTAAGTTGGTCTTAGGACACGTCCTAATCCTAAGACTGCTTCGATAAACAGGCCCCTGTTGCCAAAACCTGCCATAATATTTTATTGCGACGAAATAGTATTTTATATCGTTGAAATTTAAAGATGATATTTTTATGTGCATGTAACATTTTTATCCTTGAATGTGCATGGTGATATTGTATTTTTATTTTTTGTGTAAATAGCAAAATTATGTTTTATTCTGATGTTTTAATATTGTATATCAGTCTCTCATAGTTCATTTAAGAATGGCAAATGCATTCTAAACTTTATATTGTGTCTTAATGTTATATTGTGTTTATACTTATTTGTATGTGGTGGGACTCTAATAAACTAAACTAAACTAAACTGTACCCCAATTTTTGACATTTTTACCTGTTATGTCTGTCTGTTTTGCACAAACATTGATGTCAATATAATGGAATTCTATGCGACTGTCATACAAGAGGTTTAGCTAGCTACTAAACCATGTTAATCCACCATTTTCTACATCAGAAAATGTCTGCATCAAGTCAGGAATATGACAGTTGTTTTCCATTGGTATGATGTGTTTGAGCTTTTGATTTTGCCATTTGCTAAAGGACTTTCCGTTTTGAATTTTCCTTGGAGTTCGGTAATTTTGTTATTTTACTTTTATTAAAATAAAAGGAAAACAATCATAATCTAAATATATGAAATGATGTTGCCTGAAAAACTACAAATGCCAGCGAGAGCCTTGTACTTATTTGTTGGTCACCTAGTGCCTCCTTAAGGAGTTACGATCTCTGCATGGGGAATCCTCCATGCAAACATTATTATAGCGTATTTGTATACAGCAAGACTTTATTGATAACCCATATGTCGTGCAAGCAAGTCATGTTTGTTAGTTTTAGCGCCAAAGTTTTTTTCTTTCTTGTGGAAAACCAGTGGAATTCGTAAAAATATGAGAAAAATTAGAAATTGAACGAATTACCGATTGGACACAAAAAACATGAGAAAGAATGATTCTTTTAATCTTCTTGGTGACTTTAATCTTCAGTCATGATCGTATATTTAATAAAACTACTGCTTAATAATGTGCTTACATATAACTTTATTTTAGAATTGAATGCTTCTTTTATAATTTTATTGGGTGTAAAAGCGTTGACCGTAGCACATTTTGCACGAAGCGCATAATATAAAAATTCTGCACACGGGCAACGCTTTTACAACTCTATATAATTATAAAAAGAAGCATTTAATTGCATATTTATGCTATAACCATGAAATTGATAGTTATATCAAGCTTTTCGTTTGTGTTTTTTTTTATAAAACTAAGGAAATTTAGTATGACTGCCAATGAGACAACTATCCACCAAAGTTCAAATTAAGTGGATGTAAGCAATTATAGGCAATCACACAGCCTTCAACAATGAGAAAAACCCATATCGTATAGTCGGCTATAAAAGACCCCGACATGACAAATATGAAACAATTCAATTGAGAAAACTGACGTCCTAATTTATAATAAAACAGTTTACGAAAAACAAATATGACAAGCATGAACCAACGGCGGACAACCACTGAATTACAGGCTCCTAACTTGGGAATGGCGTATAAGGAATGTTGGGGGTTAATATGTTTGAAGGCGCCAACCCTTCCCATAACCTGGGACAGTGGTGTAACGGGACAATACAAGAACGACTATAAAATTTAGTTGAAAAGGGCAAAACTCATCAGATCAATACGAAGCAGAAAAAAACATCTAACAAAAACACAGACAGTACGTGGCAGTGAATTTATACCTCCCTCACAATATAAAAAAAAAAACCCACAAAGTACCGATCTGAGAGTACTCGCAGTTACTGACAGCTAGTTCAAAGCCAATATCATCTAATGAAAAAAGTCATGAATCTAAGACTACAATATAGATAAGTACACGCCCAACAACCAATGGATTTAGTGTAAAGAAGTCATTAACAGAGATAAACATGACCTTGTGCAATGCCAAAATATTATAAATAGGTGTCGACAGATGGTAGAGCTAAAGTGACCTGGTCGATCGCAAGGTTCTTACTCCCCCAGACAAAGTTGACCTTATATGGTTTTAGTTGTTTTTGTGTTCATTTTGGTCATATATATATCCCCAAGAATTTATAAATCCCTGTCTTTCAATTTTTATATAGCGTTCATGGTGCAGATTAATCAAATTATTCAGGCGCATCGGACGCACCAAATTTATAAAGTGTAAATTTATTACCTGCAAAAATTTTAGTTGAGACTGCAAACATCATGACCAATAATCTATTTTCGTTATATCCCAAAAGATTTATTTGTTTCACTGAACTTGAAATTACTTACTTGTATTCGGTGTATATGGTGCTTAGCCAATGCCTTTTATTTTATTCGAATTTTTGTGGACTAGCTATTTTTTGAATCGGCATAGAGTGTTAAAAAGTCTTTCCCCTTTTGTTATGTGTATATCATTTCATGGTCAAGCTCTAACAACGATGTTTACACATTTTAACATCTGTTTTCAAGCAGTAAAAACTCGGTGATACTGCTGAGGGTAAGTTATAATTCGTGTTTCGTATTATTTATTGAGACATTAAACACTCTGAAATTCCAATGCTAAAAATCTAACAACTCAAAGGCGATAACCATTGAGAATAGGTTTTGTGACTATTTCAAATTGGTAAAATATATGGAAACAGACTGGGAAAATCAACAATGTATCACTCATTTTATCAAATTTCAATTGTGTTCTTTATCCTGGCATTTCTGCATGCAGCAAAAGTAATACAAATAAGATGGTAAAAATACAAGAAATACCTTTGCGCTTTATCTGCGATGGTTACAGCAGCTCAGACAACAATTTATTAATAAAATCGATAATGCCTACATTGGGAATAAGACGTCTAAGAACGTTTGCTATTGGGATATATAGAACACGACTTAATTAGAATGAAAAAAATGTTCTAGATACCAGAATTAAGCAGCTATATATATCCTTGGTAAGAACAACAAGGCATGGCTTTATATCATTCAGATAGGTTAATGCTTAGTTATGGAACTACTAACCAAACCATTTTAGAACTAGGACATCTTTCAAACAATTTTAAATGATAAATTTATGGAACGGTGACTCGTGGCACATTTGCCAATGCAATGTTTGTTGTAATGCTTAATATGTAAAAGACTGACTGAATCATTATGTTACTGTTTTAACTTTTACTGTTTATACCAGAGTTCGCGAAATATCCCCCCCCCCCCCCCTTTGGTCATTTGAGAAATCTGCTGGTCCTCACTATTATTAAAGTCTATTGCAAAATACAAAAAATGTGTCAGTCCTTTGCAACATCCTTCGGACCACCATTTTTCTAGAACTCTGTTATACAATGGCTTATGCTGCATGACTTTTTTGCACAATTTCTATAAAACGCCTTAATAATGCTACTTCTTATGCTAACATAGACTAGGTTTTTAATAGCGTTGTATTTTAAACGCTGAATAAATTATGCGTGTTGTATGAAATGTGTGTATTTACTACCGACTGTATTTGTATATGTCTTACATATTTCTTTGTAGATAATTAAAAGCTCTTAGAAGCCCGGCTATGGTTTGTTTCATGTACCTAAAAAACCTTATATGTATAAAAAGTAAAAATGAGCAATAATTTGAGGGATAAAATAACTAATAAATAAATAAATTGATGAAAAAAAATAAAAGATGAAAATAAAAAAGAACTTAAATAAAATAAAAGAATATAAAAATAAAATTTTTAATAGAAAACCAAAGAAAATAAAAATAGAAAGTAAATAAATAAAAAAATGGAGCCACCAAAAGTAGGAACAGGAGGAAAGCAAGGACAATCAAACGGCAGTGAGCGACAGCAACGTTGTCCTGAAACACCAACAGCCAAGTAAAGAGCGGATAAATTTGACTCAGTAATCCAAATTGTGTATGTGAATTTAGTTGCCAAATATTTTGTATAAACCGAAATAGGCCTAAATATGTGTATGTGAATTTTGCAAAGATAATTAGTAAAAGGTTTTGAATGTACAAAAAAAGATAAGTAAATAAAAGAAAATAAAATAAATAAAAAAACCAAAGGGTGTATGTATAATGTTGACTGCTTTGTTCTAGCCTACTATTATTGAGGACTTTATAGTGCTAGTACACTGGAACCGGCTGTCCGCAGGAAGACAAACGCCCCACGCTAATTAAAACTGGGTTAGCGCAAACCAGATCTTGCGAAGTACCATTTTTTAAGTCTTTGATTTGATTTGCGGCTTAATGATAAGAAATATTTAAATAACTAAAGTCCAAAAGTGTAGACACAACAATAATTTTGGTGCCGCGAATTTGGAAAAAAAAACGAAGATTAGAGCGAGTTAATGTTTAGTTAGCATAATTTCAATAGTTTAATTGATTGAACACTACAAACATTTTAAATGATAAATAAATTTTATTTTTATTTTTATACTTAGTTATATATATATATATTCATTTATTTATTTATTGTTTGCTTTTTATTTATTTTTTATTTATTCGTTTGTTTTTTGTTTTTTATTTTTAATTCCCTTTAAATTTATTTATTGCTGCCGGTTACGACCTGACTCCATTTCTGGGTCACTGACCGGTAACTCTTGCAGTGTGGTTAAGTAGTCTTGGTGATCCTGCTGTAGTACTCTGAATTTCTGAAATGGTCGCTAGGTAGTTTACATTCCTCTTAAAGGTAATGGGACTTACCAATGAAACAAAATGGCTGCCGCTTGTGTACAAGACGATGGTAATCTTCTGTGACTGTTTTACCTTGTTATGACAGTTTAAATATACTTTCATTAAAAGCTGATTTTCGGTTAAGATAAGCCATACAATTCACTGCAAATTATATTATAAAACAGAGGCAAAATTACTATCCCAAAGGTCTTAGTTGCCCCTAAAGACACTGACAAAAATGTTCAATGTACATGTATGCATGTATGACACTAATGTAAGACATTTACTCGTGTAATGAAACTATTTGTCAAGACAGTTCAAATTGATGTAGAAATTGTAATGGAATTGAAGTTATGGGTGTGGTCCATAAGTTCAAAGATTCGGACCCCTTTCAAGATCTACATAAAGAATTTATAAAGAAATTTTAGGAGTACATACTACATTTCAAGTCATTTGTACGACTACTACAGTCTGCAGTGCAAAACCATAAATCTACATAGCTTGTCTAGCTGAGACAAATAGAAATCATCTGCTTTAAGGTTCATAATAACAAATGGACAAATATGGCTGTATTTACACCTCAAAAACTACTCTGTGTACAGATTAACCTGTGCAGTTTCAAAAGTTTTAATGCCTGGCATCCACTAGATATATAAAAGTTTAATGCATTTTGTGTTTCAGAAAGATAAAATCTTTTTTGGATTTTGATGGGCATATTTCTTCGTTCCTACTGTTCGTGTAAAAATAAACAAACACCTAATTTACATTTGATACTGTCCACTCAGTTACACCCTTTAGCTCGCCTAATATTGTTGTGTAGATATCTATTGTCCTTCTATTGTCCATGCCAATCAATACAGTGCAATACAGTTGTTACCTGAGAGGGAACATCTCAAAGATTTACTCAACTTAGTTTATTTTTACACCTTCTGGAGGAACAGAAAAAAATGTCTTCTTTGACTGTCCATGATGTTAAAATACTAAATCCCTGGGATGTGTTTTAGTTCATTTTAGTCTCTGATGCATGATTTTTTATTATTAATTGTTTTGGCTTTTAAGTAGCTGTCAGTAACTGCGAGTACTCTCAAATCGTACTTTCTTGTTTATTTGACCTGTTGATACTAATTGTAATGCTTTTTTTGTTATTTAATGTTCTTCAGGGTTATATCTGGTCTATATACCAGCTTTGATAAGTGTTTGGTACTACTATAAATTTTCACTTCGTACTATGAACATCAAAATTATTTATTTTGTAAAAATATTTCCTTTCTCTATTGGAAGTGTACATGTATACCTAACAACAAACTGAACAACAAAATTATCTTCATTTACCTGTGTTAAAAGTTATTGCAAATAGCTGATATTTTTGTTCGAGCATATTGTTTTTCTTAAATTGTTTAACATTTCATACCGATATAACATGTTACTTTTATTATTCTTCCCTTAGTTTATTTATTTTGTATTTGCATTGTATCATAGGTCAAATTTATTTGTTCAGTGTATGTTCACTCGTGTTAATATGTCCTTTGATTGAGTTAAGCTATTTCAGTTGATATTTTATAGTGTGTTTTTCTATGTTGTGATGTTACACTATTGTTTCAGAAAAAGGGTGAAGGTTTGGTACCATTAAAACGTTTAAACCCGCTGCATTTGTTTGCACCTGTCCTAAGTCAGGAATCTGATGTTCAGTAGTTGTCGTTTGTTGATGTGGTTCATAAGTGTTTCTCGTATCTCATTTTTATACGACCGCAAACAAATTTTTGTGGTCGTATATTGGTATGACGTTGGCGTCGTCGTCGTTGTCCAGCGTCGTCGTCGTCCAAAGACGCATTAGTTTTCGCACTCTAACTTTAGTTTAAGTGAATGGATCTCTATGAAATTTTACCATAAGGTTCAATACCACAAAAAGAAGGTAAGGATTGATTTTGAGGGTTATGGTACCAACAGTTAAGGAATTAGGGGCCAAAAAGGGGCCAAAAATAAGCATTTTCTAGTTTCCAGACAATAACTGTGGAACGGTGTATGGATCTCTCTGAAATTATACTACAAGTTTCCATACCACAAAGGGATGGTTAGGATTTGCTTTGGGGGGTTATGGCTCAAACCGTTTAAGAATTAGGGGCAAAAAAGGGGGAAAAACAAGGTTGTCCTGGTTAATGGACAAATACTTTAGTACAAAACATAATTTAAAGCAGTGTAAGGGAGATAAATCAAATACATCATTGAAATTATCTCCCTTACACTGCTTTTAAATTATGTATAAAGTAATGGTTAATGAACAATTAAGATAATTTAAAACAGTGTAAGGGAGGTGATCCAAATACAACGTTTTGGTTACTTCCCTTACACTGCTTTTAAATTATGTTTAAAGAAATGCATATTTATAAAGGAAGACCAGTAAAAATATCTGCAAATGTTGCATCTTTTTTTTTTACAACAAAACTATATGAAAGATTTGACACTATATTTTAAATTCTATTATAAAATAGATTAAGTTAGCACTATGGTAAATTTAAATGGGTAATTATGGTTGCAAACTCCATTGGAAATTTGAATTGAGATTATGACCATATCTTGAGGGAAAGAATTTTTTGGGGGAAAAAAAGGGGGGGGGGGGGGGTTTAAAGAAATTGTGGGGGGTCAATTTTTTCTCATTTCAGATTTCAGAAATTAAAAAGAATTAATCTTCAAATATTATTTTTTTTTCAAATTTCAAATATTGAAAAATTTCAAGAAGTAATCTTTAATTGGACAGTATGGCACATTAGATTTGTAAAATCTTTGACCACATTTATTTATTTGTTATGCCGAATCTAACCGTATATTTAGATTTTTAATTTTGGGTCCAGTTTTCAAATTGGTCTACATTAAGGTCCAAAGGGTCCAAAATTAAACTTTGTTTGATTTTAACAAAAATTGAATATATGGGGTTCTTTGATATGCTGAATCTAAACATGTATTCAGATTTTTGATTTTTGACCCAGTTTTCAAGTTGGTCCAAATTGGGGTCCAAAATTAAACTTTGTTTGATTTCAAAAAAAATTGAATATATGGGGTTCTTTGATATGCTGAATCTAACCATGTATTTAGAATTTTTATTTGCGGACCCCGCTATCAAATTGGTTCATATTGAGGTCAAAAGGGTCCAAAATTAAACTTAGTTTGATATTATTTTAACAAAAATTGAATTCTTGGGGTTCTTTGATATGCTGAATCTAAACATGTGTTTAGATTTTTGATAATGGGCCCAGTTTTCAAGTTGGTCCAAGTTGGGGTCCAACAAAATTAAACTTTGTTTGATTTCAACAAAAATTGAATAAATGGGGTTCTTTGATATGCTGAATCTAAACATGTATTTAGATTTTAGATTTTTGGCCCAGTTTTCAAGTTGGTCCAAATTGGGGTCCAAAATTAAACTTTGTTTGATTTCAACAAAAATTGAATATATGGGGTTCTTTGATATGCTGAATCTTACCATGTATTTAGATTTTTTATTTGTGGGCCCGCTATCAAATTGGTTCATATTGAGGTCAAAAGGGTCCAAAATTAAACTTTGTTTGATTTCATCAAAAATTGAATTATTGGGGTTCTTTGATATGCCAAATCTAACCGTGTTTTTAGATTTTTAATTTTGGGTCCCATTTTTAAATTTGTCTACATTAAGGTCCAAAGGGTCCAAAATTAAACTTAGTTTGATTTTAACAAAAATTGAATTCTTTGGGTACTTTGATATGCTGAATCTAAACATGTGTTTAGATTTTTGATTATGGAACCAGTTTTCAAGTTTGTCCAAGTTGGGGTCCAAAATTAAACTTTGTTTGATTTCAACAAAAATTGAATATATGGGGTTCTTTGATATGCTGAATCTAACCATGTATTTTGATTTTGGACATTGGACCATAATAGGTAAATTAAAAAAATTGAAGTTCTTAGACCACATTCTTTCTGTGTCAGAAACCTATGCTGTGTCAAATATTTAATCACAATCCAAATTCAGAGCTGTATCAAGCTTGAATGTTGTGTCCATACTTGCCCCAACTGTTCAGGGTTCGACCTCTGCGGTCGTATCAAGCTGCGCCCAGCGAAGCATTTTATTTATATAGATTAGACCGTTGGTTTTCCCGTTTGAATGGTTTTACACTAGTAATTTTTGGGGCCCTTTATAGCTTACTGTTCGGTGTGAGCCAAGGCTCCGTGTTGAAGACCGTACTTTGACCTATGGTTTAATTTTATAAATTTTGACTTGGATGGAGAGTTGTCTCATTGGCACTCATTCCACATCTTCTTATATCTATATAAGTAAGTTAAAATATCTTGTATACGGTTTCACTGTCTTTCATTGCTTAGATCAAAATTTTTGTTCTTTAAATAATTTTTAATAGGAAGAAAAACTGTTTGTCACTTGTTCAAGTTGTTGAAAAAGTTAAGTCAAAGTCAGTTAATTTCAAATCGTGTGCGATTATTTGTGGTATTTTCATGGATAAGGCCATATCTCTGCATCAAGTTGCAGTAGGAAATGCATATAAATGATTCTAGAACACTTGGCGAGTGTTTAAATATGACAAGATCACAAAAAGTTACATCGAAAAAGTTGTATTTTTCATTACCGGAAATTGAATACATACTTGTAAATCGAAAACAAATACGGTGCGAGATGCGGGAAAAATTCGTACTTAATATTTTACAAAAATATACGACTTTGGAAGTTTGTATTTCTTAGAGTTGCTGGATCGATACTTTCTAAATTTGTAAACACTGAAAAAAATTAAAAATATTATGTTTTGCATATAACTTTTATGTATTGCATTTGAAACTGAGCACTGACTACTCTTAAAGATTCAGGCCAGTATTTCATATTACCCAGTATTACCCGGTAAAAAACCCGGTTTTCCCAGTATTTCCCACTGAGCTGGGCGATACTCATTAAACCCAGGGTTTTGCCAACCCTGCCGGCAATGTGTTTGTAATTTTAGTTTATGTGTTTTCCTGCTTGAAGCACATTATTCATATTTCTTATGTAAAAATTGATAAAACGGAACGTACATGTATAGCTATTTATTTTATTATTTTTCTTTCATCGTTATTTAATTCCTGTTTGTAAATACACATATCACACTTTTTACAAACTCATATGACCCTGATAGGAATTGTATATTTAAAACAGCAGAGAAAAAATGTTTGGCACTAAAATTATAACTAAAGAATGATGACAAAAATGTTGAACACAAACATTGTTATCATGGTTATAAACATGATAAAGCTGAAGTATACAGTAATTCTATACATAAAAATATTGAAATTCACATTTTTGCATGTTATGTTGAAAACTGTATTAGATAGATAGAAACTTTAAATAGCACAAATGATAAGCAAGACAAGATCTACAAATAAGCCATTATGGTGGTAATGTTCAGTCAACTCGTTATTGGAGTTATTGTCCATTAATGATAATTTTTTACATTTTATTTGCATTTTTTGTCTATTGTCTTGAAAGCCTATAATAAATAGCCATTGTTGAAGATGCAGGTGAGCGACACAGGCTCTTTAGAGCCTCTGATTATATACATGTGGAAAATAAATTAAGGAGATGTGGTATGATATCCAATGAGAAAACTATCAACAAAAAGACCAAAGGACAAGGATATAAACAACTACAGGTCACCCTTATAGCTTTCTACAATAGACAAGGATGTAAACAACTACAGGTCACCCTTATAGCTTTCACCAATAGACAAGGATGTAAACAACTACAGGTCACCCTTATAGCTTTCATCAATAGACAAGGATGTAAACAACTACAGGTCACCCTTATAGCTTTCATCAATAGACAAGGATGTAAACAACTACAGGTCACCCTAATAGCTTTCACCAATAGACAAGGATGTAAACAACTACAGGTCACCCTTATAGCTTTCACCAATAGACAAGGATGTAAACAACTACAGGTCACCCTTATAGCTTTCACCAATAGACAAGGATGTAAACAACTACAGGTCACCCGTATAGCTTTCATCAATAGACAAGGATGTAAACAACTACAGGTCACCCTAATAGCTTTCACCAATAGACAAGGATGTAAACAACTACAGGTCACCCTTATAGCTTTCACCAATAGAAAAGGATGTAAACAACTACAGGTCACCCTTATAGCTTTCATCAATAGACAAGGATGTAAACAACTCAAGAATGTAAACAACTACAGGTCACCCTTATAGCTTTCACCAATAGACAAGGATGTAAACAACTACAGGTCACCCTTATAGCTTTAACCAATAGACAAGGATGTAAACAACTACAGGTCACCCTTATAGCTTTCACCAATAGACAAGGATGTAAACAACTACAGGTCACCCTTATAGCTTTAACCAATAGACAAGGATGTAAACAACTACATGTCACCCTTATAGCTTTCACCAATAGACAAGGATGTAAACAACTACATGTCACCCTTATAGCTTTCACCAATAGACAAAACCAATACCAAAAGTTTACCTTATGTGGAAAGTACTTATATTGGGTATTTATTTTCTTTTTGAAAACATTCTTGTGTGGAATTTGTTGTATTTTACATGCTGTAAAGTTGTAGTAATAAGTTTAATTTAATCAATTCTATAAAAAAATGTTTTTTTTCTTTCTGTTCTAAATTTCATGGATGGGGAACCACAAAATCCATGAAAATTGGTATTCCTAGACATGCTAGAATGATAATACTGTCAACAGACATGACTATGTTTCTCACTCAGTACTTGAAAGTACATTGTACATTCATGACATTATTAAACATTTACAATTATATAATTTAACAGGTGGTGGTTCAATAGTTGATGAAGGTGAAAAGTACATCTCTCTTGAAGAGCTTCAAAATCAACTTCAGCTATCTGGGAATGAAGCATTAACTGTCCAAGTAGACAATGCATCAGGTTATATTATCAAATGCAACAGTTCAGAATCTTCCTGTGATTCGGGACAAGTTGTTACTGCTGGTGGAGACTCAACTGTCATAGCATATGCATTGCCAGTTGATTCAAACAGACACACAGCTTACATTGTTCATGGGTCTGGAGTTGAAGGTACAGATGAGGATAATCTTGTGGCTTTAGGCAGCGAGGTTGGTGATTCATCAGCTGAAAATGTTTCAGTTAGAGAGTTTGTCTCCAAAGATAACAAAGGGACTGTTGATCAGAATGGTACCACTGGATTGAATGATAAATCAAATCAGGCAACAAAGAAAATTGACAGTCAAAAAGATGACAAATCTCTTGTTGAGACAGCAGTACAAGCTAATGATTATGATATAGAGAGGAGGTCAGGAAAAGTACCTGCAAGGAGAAGAGTAATTCCATTTAAATTCAGGTGAGTTTTTAAAAAATCTGAAAAATGTAGGTCATGTTGGTCATCTTCAGTTACTTGGACTTGACAAGTTATTACCTCAAGTTCAAATTACTGACAATGACCTGCAACTTTAATTTTTTTTGCCTGATGATAGTCTTTTAGATCCATCAGAGATATATTCAAATATGCAAAGCCATTTGGAGCATGCTCATGGTTATTCTGTACCTTTCCTTGATTTTTCAGGTATGATCACCAATTACAACTGTGGTCATATTTGAGTTGAGTAATTTCTATTTACACCTGAAGGTTTAAGATAAACTCATAGTAGATACCAGGCTTAAAATTTTGTATGCCAGATGTGCGTTTCATCTACAAAAGACTCGTCAGTGATGCCTGAATAAACAAAGTTAAAAAGCCAAATAAAATACTATGTTGAGAATTGCGGAACCAAAATTCTGAAATGTTTTGCCAAATACAGCTAAGGTAATCTATTCCTTAGGTAGAAAATCCTTGGTATTTCGGAAAATTCTAAGTTTCGTAACCACTGTTAATTTATTCACTATTATGACCATATAGATAATTATACATTTCTTAGAAGAAATGATAATTGAATGCATTTGAACTCTATTTTCTATATAAAGTTTATACGTAACATCAACAAATTAGAACCACAATAAAGAATTATACATGTATGTTATCAGCATTTATATATAATGTATGATTTAACTGAATTAAAATTATGGAAATTAATGTTGTATGCAAAAAGAAAATATGTACACAAAAACTACAAATACTAAACATTAAAAAATTCAAACTTGTTACTGATCATTCTATATTTTTGTTGCAAATTTGATAAAATTGGTAAAAGTAAGTTAAAGCAATACACAGTTTAACAAATATGATATATATGTATTTCAAACCTAGTTGGTTATCTTTAGTGATTTTATTTATTATATATACATTTGTACATGTATATAGTATTATGAGCAACACCTATAGATATATAATAAAAAAATTTAATGCTTATAATTATACATGTAGGTTATTTATGGTTCTGAAAATGAGCAGTAGTTTCTTTAGCAAATACTTCATACAAAGGCAATATGAGATAGAAGCTGAAAAACTTCTGTGAGTTTGAAGACCATAGATAATCTCTTTATTGCTTTTTTCTTAGAAACGTGAATGATGTTTGGCTTATGATGTAATCATATTTCCACTCTACTCATCTGAGAAATACCTATTTCAGTGGAGTGGCATGAAAATGAAGAATGAATTCATATTTTCAGAGATTATAAGAATCCTGACTTAGTCAAGGAAGAGGGTAATGAGAGTGATTCTGATTATGATCCTGACATTAATGAGGAATCGTCCTTGAAGAGAAAAAAACCAGTGGCTCGTAAATCAACTACTCCTGGTAGTGGAAAAAGAGGTAAAGCACTTTATTATAGATTTTATTTTTAAATCACTTGGCCCATATAGAGCATGTGAGCTATTAACATCAAAATCTGTCATTTGTTATCACAAATTATTTTTAAATCTTCCCCTATGAAACTACGAAGCAAATTTACACCAAAATTGTCACCAATCATCCTTGGGTTCACTCATTTTTTTTTAAAAAGTAAAAAAATAATAAAGCCTAAACTTTTTGATGTTACCAAATATAGAAAATATAGATACAATTATCATTTCTTCAAGTTGTATCACTGAAATGTTTAATAAGTCCACTAGCTGTGTCCTTTCAAAATATATACAAATAGTCCTGTTGACCAAACAGAATGGCAATAGAAATTCTGTAAAAAAAGATGTAAGAAAAAAAAATTATGGTTTATGAGACATTCTCCAAACTGTTGGAAATACACTAAACTCCTTCTGGCAGATCAGAAAATAAGCAAATTAAAAAGAGAAGTTGTCTCAATAGATCCAAACAATCATGACAACACCAAAAAGGTTTTATTTATTAAGATTGGTTAAGGCTAGAGTGATGCTCAGGCAGATGAATGGACAGGCAAACAACAGTATACAATAATAATTGTTGAGAGACCTATATAAAACTGGTCATTTTAGGCCCTTGATTTGTAATTGTCGTGCCATTACAAAGGCAATTCTTAGGTTTTACAGCATTAACGATTGTTTAAAAGTTTGTTATTAGGTCAGTTCAAGAACGGGGATGTACTGAGTAATATTGCCAGATCTCATTCCTTGGAGATTATTGGGCCCGCCACCTCAGTCATGTTCTATTTAGAAACTTTTGCTTGGTTAAAATGTTAAAATTTCTGTTTACTGTGGATTCATTATTATTTGTGGTAAACCGATTTTTCATGGATTTTGTTGGTAAAGGTGAACCACAAATTAAAATTTTCTGCAAAGTTCAAATTTTCGATAGGCTTGTATGTAGACTTTTACAAAGCTACAGAATCAAATATTTATGAATACATAATTTTTCCTCGATCCACAAAAATTGGTACCCTGACAAAAATGACGAATCCACTGTAGGTCAGCTAGTGGGGAACCACTAATAGTTAATCAATTATATTTAATGTGTAGTTGTATGAGCATTATCTGATATGGCTCAGCCATCTCTTACTATGAAATTTTTGTTAAAGGTCAATATAAGGGAAAGTCAATGATATTTGGTATACACTAGTATCAGCATTGGTAACTCTCATTTCCAAGGAGATTATTTGGTCCTGCACCTTTTGTCATAGTTCATTGACTTTGAATATTTTGTATAGTTCTGAATATGAGCAGTAGTTTCTTTGGTAAATACTTCATACTTGATGAAAATGCTGAATTTTGACAAAATGTTTTATTGTTCTGAATGTCATCCAGTGCTCACCCCATGACATAACTCATGTCACAACTTTATATTGACATATTGTATTCTTCAAAAAATTGTCTATGTGGCACAAGTTGGAGTTTTCCTTAATTTTTTTATATGCCTCATAATCTTCAGTTTTGTAGAGCCTGCGACTTTTGTAACAAAAGCGAGACATAGCAATCCTACATTCCGTCAGCGGCGGCGGCATCCACAAATATTCACTCTGTGGTTAAAGTTTTTGAAATTTTAAAATAACTTTCTTAAACTATCCTGGATTTGTACCAAACTTGGACAGAAGCTTGATTATGATCATAAGATAGTATCCAGAAGTAAATTTTGTAAAAAAAAAATCCTGTTTATCCATATTTTACTTATAAATGGACTTAGTTTTTCTGCCAGTTAACATTACATTCACTCTGTGGTTAAAGTTTTAAAAATTTTAATAACTTTCTTAAACTGTCCTGGATTTGTACCAAACTTGGACAGAAGCTTGTTTATGATCATAAGATAGTATCCAGAAGTAAATTTTGTAAAAAAAAAATTCCTGTTTATCTGTATTTTACTTATAAATGGACAAAGTTTTTCTGCCAGTTAACATTACATTCACTCTGTGGTTAAAGTTTTAAAAATTTTAATAACTTTCTTAAACTGTCCTGGATTTGTACCAAACTTGGACAGAAGCTTGTTTATGATCATAAGATAGTATCCAGAAGTAAATTTTGTAAAAAAAAAATTCCTGTTTATCCGTATTTTACTTATAAATGGACAAAGTTTTTCTGCCAGTTAACATTACATTCACTCTGTGGTTAAAGTTTTAAAAATTTTAATAACTTTCTTAAACTGTCCTGGATTTGTACCAAACTTGGACAGAAGCTTGTTTATGATCATAAGATAGTATCCAGAAGTAAATTTTGTAAAAAAAAAATTCCTGTTTATCCGTATTTTACTTATAAATAGACAAAGTTTTTCTGCCAGTTAACATTACATTCACTCTGTGGTTAAAGTTTTAAAAATTTTAATAACTTTCTTAAACTGTCCTGGATTTGTACCAAACTTGGACAGCAGCTTGTTTATGATCAGAAGCTTTGTAAAAATTTATTTCCTGTTTTTCCGTATATAACTTATAAATGGACTTAGTTTTTATACGACCGCAAAAAATTTTGCGGTCATATATTGGTATCATGTCGTCGTCGTCCGAAGACATTTGATTTCCAGACAATAACTTAAGTATATGTAAATAGAAATCTATGAAATTTAAACACAAGGTTTATAACCACTAAAGGAAGGTTGGGATTGATTTTGGGGGTTATGGTCCTAACAGTTTAGGAATAAGGGGCCAAAAAGGGGCCCAAATAAGTTTCCAGACAATAACTTGTGGAAAGGTGTATGGATCTCTCTGAAATTAGACCACAAGTTTCCATACCACAAAGGGATGGTTAGGATTGGCATTAGGGGGTAATGGCTCAAACCGTTTAGGAATAAGGGGCAAAAAAGGGAGACAAACAAGGGTTTCCTGGAAAATGGACAAAAACTTAAAAGTACAATGTTATGTTTGGATTACCTCCCTTACACTGATTTAAAATTATGTATAAAGAAATGTTGTATTGTCTTGAGGTGATTAGCTGTCAATTTATTTTTAGAAGTTACTATTAAAAATGCTGATTAAGGAATATTAATTTTAGCCATGATTATGTATGTCATTTTCTATTTTAAGACTTTTATGATGTATTTAAATGGGTAATTATGGTTGCAAACTCCATTGGAAATTTTAATTGAGATTATGACCATATCTGGAGGGAAAGTTGTTTTTTTTTTAAAAGGGGCGGGAGGGGGGGGGGGGGGGGGGGGGGGGGGGGGGGAAGTGAAAAAAAATTGGGGGGGGGGGGGGGGGCACAATTTTTTCTCATTTCAGATTTCAGAAATTTTTTTTTGGGGGGGGGGGGGGGTCATTTCGCAACAGCAAAGTGTATTGTGTATATAAATTCAAATCATATAACCAATTCTAAGTTCTTTGACTACAGTAATTCTGTGTCAGAAACCTATTATGTGTCAAATATTTAATTACAATCCAAATTCAGACCTGTATCAAGTGCGAATGTTGTGTCCATTTTTTGCCCCAACTGTTCGGGGTTGGACCTCTGCGGTCTTATCCAGTTGCGCTCAGCGAAGCAATTTATTTTTCCAGTTAACATTATATACAGTCTGCAGTTAAAGTTTTTAAAACATTTATTAGATTCAAACTTGGACAGAAGTAGATATAAGAAGATGTGGTATGAGTGCCAATGAGACAACTCTCCATCCAAGTTAAAATTTGTAAAAGTAAACCATTATAGGTCAAAGTACAGTCTTCAACGTGGAGCCTTGGCTCACACCGAACAGCAAGCTATATAGGGCCCCAAAAATGACTAGTGTAAAACCATTCAAACGGGAAAACCAACGGTCTTATCTATATAAAAAACGAGAAACACTTATGAACCGCATCAACATACGACAACTACTGAACATCAGATTCCTGACTTAGGACAGGTGCAACAAATGCAGTGGGTTTAAACGTTTTAATAGGTACCAACCATCACCCTTATCTAAAACAATAGTGTAACATCACAACATAGAACGACACACTATAAAATATTAATTGAAATGGCTTAACTCAATCAAAAGACATATTAACACAAGTGAACATACACTGAACAAATAAATTTGATCGATGATACAATGTAAATTAATACAAAATCAATAAAATAAGGGGTGAATAAATAAAGGCAACAGTAGTATACCGCTGTTAGATGTTAAACAATTTAAAAAAAACAACAACAGCCTTGAACAATAAGCCGCCAAATACAACAATATACACAGGTAAATGAAAATAATTTTGTTGTAAGGTATACAGTTTAAATGGAGAACGGAAATATTTTTTACAAAATAAATAATTTTGTTGTTCATAGTACGAGAAGTGAAAATTTATAGTCATACCAAACACTTATCAAAGCTGTATATAGACGAGATATAACCCTGAATAAATAATCATTAAATAACAAAAAAGCATTACAAATAGTATCAACAGGTCAAATTAACAAGAAAGTACGATTTGAGAGTACTCGCAGTTACTGACAGCTAGTTATAGCCAAAAAATTAATAATAAAAAATCATGCATCAGAGACTAAAATCAACTAAAACACATCCCAGGGATTTAGTATTTTAACGTCATGGACAGTCAAAGAAGACATGCATGACTTGTGCAATGCCAAAAATAAATGTATAGACAGGCAGTAGGATAGTTAGGAGTTAACCTCTTTATAGAAAAAAATTAACATGGATGTTTATACATCCCGTTTGAAAAGAATACAAATTTAGTTATGTTTTAATTTGCTGATGACAAAATTGATATTTGTGCCAATGTAAACTTCTTATATAAGAAGCTTCTTATTTCATTAACTGTAAATCTATTATGTGCATTCCCCTATCACACTGAAAACATAGACAACAGCAAAAGTAGGCGAGACACTGGGTTCCGCGGAACTCTTATGAATTTTTATGATTTTCAACAATATGTCAGAAAAAAAGTTTGAAAACACTTTTAAGAGTCAAAGATCAGGCATTCATTATATATTTAATATATGTTTTATACTTTCCCTGCAGGCAGACCGAGAAAATCAGCATCAAATGAAGTTGTCATTCTTATTCAATCCTCAGGTATTTATAAAAAGTTATTACAGTATTATAAACCTGATAAAGAGATACTAAATGAAAACAGTTATGTGTGTGATCAAAGACAACTGAGGACAGTACAGGTTATTGTTTCGAAAAGAAATGTGAATAAAAGTTGATTTGAGGATAAAAAAATTCTTGTATACAGTATTGAAAGGCAAAAATTTTAGTAACAGTTTTCAAGTCTCAATCATACAGCATAAAAATAAGTACAGCAAGAATCTTGTTTTGAGAAATAAAGTAACATATTTTAATAAACTATAGATTAAGAAATATTGATAGTGTAAATAAATCTTATATCAATTAAACAAAAGTTTCAGTGTGCAAAAGCATGACTTTCTTACAAATTATTCTTACATGTAGGGTACCGTAAATTGGGAAATTTTGGTGTCGGGATATTTTGGCGGTTTTCTCTCGAAAGGCATGTGTTTTATTTTGGTGTGTATAATTTTGGTGCTTCGTCCAATTGATATGTTTAATTTTGGAACAACAGTAGTGAGCAAGCTCATTCATATTTGCCTTTATTTACCTGTTTATTGACAAAATATCATTGAATTTCTCAAACTAGAAACACGACAAAGTTAACTTATTGAAGGAATTGGAAACAGATGCAATTGCAAATAAATCCGTATATCGTGGTTCAAAGCTAAAAGAAAATATGAAATAAATCTTAAACATTGAAATCACTTCTTAAAAAGATTATTTATTTTTTACAAATATCATATGAAATAATGTTTAATTATCTCTATTGCAGTACATGTTAATCTATTGACGATCAAGGATTTAAATTTTAATCCTTATGCCTCTGGCAGTATATGTTAATTAATTGAAGATAAAGAATTACAAGGAGTTTAAATGTTCTAATTACCAATAACACAAAAAGTTTAAATATTCTAATTGGTGTCTTCCTCCTATTCCCACTTTTTAAAAATACTATTCCTTCTATTCCCACATGCAAATAACAATAGATGTTTTGATAAATAATTTGTTTTTATAACAATCAAGGTTAATTAGAATTTCACCTAAGATTTACCTGTATTTTTTTTTTAAACATAACATATTTGGTACACTGTTTATGTATAATACCTAGTTTATTTCTTTTTTCGTCAAAGATATATTTAAAAATAAAGAATAATTATGATAAATAGATTGGAGTAAGATTTATTTTAAAATTTTTGAATTTATAACCTTAAAGAATTGTCTGCTGTACAAATAAATCATGATATAAAATAAAATTATAACCAAGTATAATCTTAAGATGTGGAACAAAAGTATACTCTAAAAATATAATTACTTGGACCAATAATCAAAGATGTAAAATAATGGGTGAAAACTGTTAACTTTACTTCAAAGCATGAGCAATCAGATTTGATTAATTTTAATTGACTGAGTTAGAGTTTGGTGATGCAGCCTCCCACCTTGTTCACGTGGAATAGATTGATAAACTTTAATAGACTTGTATACAGTGTATGTGCTAGAATGTGTGATTTGATTTAGTGCTGTTGTATAATTTGTGTTATATTATGCTTGCTTGAATCTACAGTTGAATTTGTGTTATAAAAGAAATTATATATTTTAATTATATATTTTAATTTCTTTCATATTTATTTTGTTTAAAAAAAAACAGAATTCATACAATGCAAAAATAACTTATTACCTGTCCTAATAAAAAAAAACACTGGTCAATTAACAGTTGATTAAAAAATGTTTGTACAGTATAATCCTTTGTTTGCACAAGTTTTCCCCCTATTCCCACATGAAATATTAACTTTTCTTACCAGATTTATAAAAAGTGGGAATAGAGGGAATGAACCTTCTAATTACCAATAACGGCGTCTAATCAGCAATAGCCTGGCATATTTATGACGTGTGAATAAAAATGCATGTTGTGTTTTCTTAACAATTTCAGAAAATTGACAATTTTGTATAAATTATATTGTGTTGTCAAATTATACCAGGTATTTATTTGCAGATTTGGCAATATATAGAATTGTAGGAAATAAACAGAAGATATAAAAACATAAAACATTTTCCCCAACAATTAACGTTACGATATTGTAGTACCGGTACACGATTATGGCGTTTTAATTTTTAGTGATTGCTTTATTTTCGTGTGTTTATTTTTGGCACTTTCATTGGAGGCACCAAATAAACCAAAATAAAACTACAACCAAAATAACCCAATTTATGGTATTTATTAATTTTAGAAACCTTAATTATATATGTTTTCTGGTTATGTGCAGATTATAAATTTTCACCTCTATTTGACTACTTTTCAACCAATGTCCAGAAATTTTTTATGTCAACTTTTGTTTGTGATTTCATCAAGAAAAGGAAGAGTTAAATTTTTGCTTGTGGTTAATAATTGTTGCCATTTTGAAAGTATTTCAATTACTTTTTCTATGTTAAACAAGGAAATTTTTTTATCAGGAGGGAATTTTAAGTGATTTTTTTTTTTTCATCAGTGAACAAAGCATAAATTAGACTTATGGAAAATAACCTGATATATATATATATATAACTATATGTATATCATAGGGAAATAAGATATTAGATATGTATTTTTTTTTCAATAGTCAGATGCATGCTCTTGTTATCATAGATATAGGAAAGATTGCTAATTTATGTACTTGTTACTTAAGTATAATGGAAAATTACCATTGCAAATAAAATTGAAATTATATTTCTTACACAAAAAAAACAAAATTTTGAAACTTAAGATGTTGATGGTACTGAAATTGTTCTCAGTGATAATCATGCACCATATAAAGCTGTACAGTTGAAATTGTCATAAAAATATGGTAATTATTGTGGGGTAAAAAAAAAGATTTGAATCAAAAGTCAAGAACTTTGAAAAAAGTTTAAGTCAGTGTAAATTGTTTCTGGTTGTTAGGCATTATATTATGATGTACGTACCATTTTTCTTATCTGGGGTATAATATTTAATATCAGATTAAACACACATTACCAACTACTGTAGGTAGATTAATTTTTATTGGTAGTGTACTAATTTTCATGGATTTTGTGGGTAAACCATGAATTTCAGCATGTTAAGTGTACAACCAGATTAAAAAATGTTCCATGTAATCAAGTCTCCAGGAAGAAATAATTATTCCCTTATCCATGAAAATTGGTGCCATAAAAAAATGAATCCTAAGAAGAATAATTCCAGATTACAATAAAAATACCAGAGAAATAAGAAAAAACAGAGCTTTCTTTTCCTTTTGTTTATTTTCAAATTATTTAATGTTCAAGTTTTTGATCTGTTGATCTTGTAAATATTCTGTGTTTTTTTATCACAGAAATTATATTTGCAGAGAAGCTTTAAAATATCTATATTGTCTATCCTATATTGTCATATTATACATGGTCAATCCTCTAATAATTTATTCCATTAAGGGATTTTTTGTTGGTGTGTTATTTATCTGGCTTCTTCACATTTGTCATAACATGAATTAGTTACTTAATTGACAATAAATTTGGTAAATCAGTGTGTGCAGTAAATACATACTGATAAAAAAACAACATTAGTTTTAAGAAAAAAGGGAAAAGTTATTAAAAGATAGCTTGTCTACAATACAATGTTTCAGGTTTAGGCAATTCAACAAGTCAGATTGTGCCATTAGAGTCTCTAAATGAAACTGTGCAACAGACTATTTCAACAGCTATAGCCAATCAGGAAGCCAAAAGTAATGCTAAAAAAGACGAAGAGATAACAGAATCCAAAAGTAGTGAGAACCAGGATCAAACTGAAGAGCAAGTGGTAAAGAGAAGGGAAAGGATCAGAGGTGTAGGAAAAGATTTCAAGTGTGAAAGTTGTTGTAAGACCTTTTCTTCCAAAGGTAGCTATATACATTTGTACATGATATACATGAGAAAGTATTCTGAGAACTAACATCATGTAGGTGATGACTGCAGATCAGTATTTCTTGGCAAAAATGATATATCAACCGGTTTTGAAATTGCATCAACAGCATATTTGTCACTAACATGGTTCAACAGGTCCAGGGCTCCACATTACCACGGACAAGAAGAATCACCATATTAGTAAAAATTCCATAATGTAAAACATAAACTTTCAAGACTTACATATGCCTAAAAAATATTGATCATACAAAATCTAAATTCATTGATTGAACATGCTGGCTGATGGAAGCTTTCATATCAAAGATGATAAATCTCAAGAAATCTGGGTAGCAGGACTTTAACTTTGATCCATTTTTTTAACAGAAATCTTACTCAAAATACTAGTAAAAGACTTATTATACCAGAAATTTGTATCCCTTTTTTTTTTTTATCAAATTCAAAGTTTTATTTAAAGTCGATATTCAGTAAACTACATAAACAACTAGAACACACCCGCAACATTTGTCGCGGGTCCGTGATTGAATTGAAGTACCTACGCCTTATTTTTAGCTTGGATTTTTAGTAATTGTATTGTCATCTGATAAAGTCATGCTGATTATAAGGTGCACAAGTTTCTCTGCTTTCAAAATCTTTCTGTTTGAACCTGTTCTTACTACAACAGGAAACTACATGTGATATATACTATTTGTATCGGTATCTGATTTGACACGGGACTTATTAATTATTGGTAATATTAATTATGTGGAAAACAAAAGGGCCTGGAATGGTGTAATTTTTAATCAATACACCGTACCAATTTCCTATATTAGTTATTTATAAAGTTGGAATTCTTTGATTCATCTTTTTTACGTCATGCCAGCTAACAAATTGGATCTCATTATTTTAGTAGTATAGATGAGCTCTAGTTAACTTTCAAAATCAACTTATTTAGATACATTTTACCAGGTATAATAATAATAATAATAATAATAATAATCTTTATTTCAAGAGGGTATGCTCAATTAGAACAAACACTATTCTCCCTTGAGGCCCTCACATTCCACTCACAATGCATCACACAATTTCTTCATAACAAAGATAAACATAAGAAAACATAATCAAAATTGATACATAATCATTTAAATAATTCCTGGATTTTCAAGTAAAAACTTAAAGCAGTTTGTTTTAAAAGTATTTATTTTGACATGTGTCTTAGTGCTTCTGGTAGTTTATTCCATAAAGTTGGGCCAGAACATGAAAAAGATCTTCTAAATGTGTTTGTTCTTGCCTTTGGTATATTAAGTAATTGGGTAGTATTTGATCTAAGTTGCATTCCATTTTTATTTCTAACATAGGAGATTTTGTTAGACAAATATTCTGGGACAGATCCATATAAACATTTATGAACATATAAGGCCTTGTGGTAAATTACACGATCAGTAAATCGAAGCCATGATAACTTTTTAAACATTGTATTAGATGGGGTATCATAAGGAAGTTCAAGAATAATTCTAGCTGCTCGTTTTTGAAGTTTATCTAATCTATTTGTATTTTGGTCACTGGTGTTTCCCCAAATTGTACAACAGTAATCCAAAATAGGGAGAATATAACCATTAAAGTATAACTTTCGTGTTTCCAGGGGGAGGGATTTCTTTATCCTAGACAAAAGATTTAGCCTGGTACTGATTTTTGTGCACAAAGTGTCAATTTGGGCTGTCCACTCAAGATTTTCATCAATAAAAACCCCTAGGAGTTTTTCGCCATTAACATCTCTAATGTGGGAGTTACCAACAGTTACCAACTTATAATTAATTGCTTACACTTGTACTAATGCATATTGCTTGGAAATACTGTTATATGTATTTTTTTCGTGATTTTTTTTTTTCATGAATTTCATGGTAAGGATATTTTTCACAAAATTAAATACATGCGAATACAAATGCAGCAGAAATGGATGTAAAACCTTTGAATAATTTTTCCCTGTGATCCATACAGAAAATCAATTAAGGACAAAAGGTAACAAATAATGACCCAAGCCAAATCTGTCAGTTTTATTGTGCAACTCCAACTTAATCTGAGAAAAATCTCTATCTAACGGACAACTGTTTTGATGATTGGATAATTTTTGTTTGTTTTGTAAACAATATCACTGACCTGTTCTTTATTAGTTTATATTTGATTTGACAAATAAAGACTTGATTAATGAAAATTTAAATATTTTATGAACATATCTACTAATACAAAGTTTTTTAAACACAAATAGGTATTAACTGATAGTTAGATTTCAAATGTCAAAGTTCACTTATACACACATGCATATGAATGAAATACTAAATTTTTCTCACCCCCAAGGGTGACTGGGGTATCGAAGTATGGTCACCATTGGTCTTCCCCCAACCGGCAGTAAAACCCATGCTTACGTGGGGCGTCCGTTTGGCTGTGTGGGATCTACAAATTTGCAGCCACGTCCCGTCAGAATGGGGTCGTTAAATCCGATGCCTTGTGTAAAGAGAGTGCCACACTCTTTGCACGTTAAGAACCCTTGCAACAACTCTTTGAGGGGTCCGTAGGTGACCTGTTGCAAGGCTAAATTTCTGGCCCTATCCAATACACCCTCATTTCCCGTGGGAGTCTAAATTTCTCCGACCTTAATCCCGGACGCCCCTATTAAAGAACCTACATATTGTGTTTATTGTTAATTTGTTCTCGTCCTGAATATGCATGAAATATTTGCCACTGGACGATAAGCAACCAACAATCAATCAATCAATCTAAATTTTTCTCACTATTATAATTAACATTATTAAAATTGAGAATGGAAATGGGGCATGTGTCAAAGAGACAACAACCCGACCAAAGAGCAGACAACAGACGAAGACCACCAATGGGTCTTCAACGCAGTGAGAAAATCCCGCACCCGGAGGTGGTCCTCAGCTGGCCCCTTAATAAAATTGTGTACTATTTCAGTGAAAATGGACGTCACACTAAACTCCAAAACATATAAATGAACTAAAATTATAAAACATACAAGACTGACAAAGGCCAGAGGCTCCTGACTTGGGACAGGTGCAAAAATGCGGCTGGGTTAAACATGTGAGATCTCAACCCTCCCCTATACCTCTAGCCAATGTAGAATAAAGAAACACATTGCAATACGCTCAGTAAAAATTCAGTTCAAAAGAAGTCCGATGTCAGAGTAGGTAACAAAAGAAACTAAGCTAAATGACAATGATACATAAATAAACAAAGGACTACTAGCAGTTACTGACATGCCAGCTCCAGACCTCAATTAAACTGATTGAAAGATTATGTCTTCATCATATGAAAATCAAGTACAATCCCTCCCATTAGAGAGGGGTTTAGTATCATACCATCATAAAATATATGAGAAGAACATAACCCATATCATGCCAACACTTGGTTTTAGAATAAATGTGTTTATTTCCGACGCAAAGACCCTATAAGTGAATCAATATTTATACCAAAATATGCAATCCTTAATGACTTGACAACAGTATAATGTAGTACAGTGCAGGGCTTCCAAAATTATTTTTAGCCAGCCGGACATTTTTATATATTATCCCGATTTTAATCCCTTTAGACTAAATAAATAAAAGGCAATTATGGTAATCAGTTGCCGAGTTGGCCATCCCAATGATTGACATTAAAAAAAAACGATATTAAACTTTCTTTGATTCAAATTCGAAGTTCTGACGTAAACTGTTAAATTGGCAGTGCATCATTCGAAGTGTGCAACATCAGCCTACTTATATCTGCTTAGACTCTTTATTTGTGCAAAATAACGTTGTCAAAAACTTTACTTTCGTTTTTATACGACCGCAAAAAAATTTTTGTGGTCGTATATTGGTATGGCGTCGTCGTTGTCGTCTGGCGTTGTCCGGCGTCGTCCGAAGACACATTGGTTTTCGCACTCTAACTTTAGTTTAAGTGAATGGATCTCTATGAAATTTTACCACAAGGTTCAATACCACAAAAGGAAGGTTGGGATTGATTTTGAGGGTTATGGTACCAACAGTAAAGGAATTAGGGGCCAAAAAGGGGCCAAAAATAAGCATTTTTGTAACTTCCAGACATAACTTGTGTGTTAGTGTATGGATCTCTCTGACATTGTACCACAAGGTTCCATATCACAAAAGGAAAGCTGGGATTGATTTTGGGGGTAATTGCCTCTAAATTTTAGGAATTAGGGGCCAAAAAAGGGGCAAAAAACAAGCATTTTTCTAGTTTCATGACAATAACTTGTGTGTAAGTGTATGGATCTTTCTGAAATTGTACTACAAGGTTCCATATCACAAAGGGAAAGCTGGGTTTGAGTTTGGGGGTAATTGCCTTAAATGTTTAGGAATTTGGGGCCAAAAAGGGGCCAAAAAACACCTTTTTCTAGTTTCCAGACAATAACTTGTGTTCAAGTGTATGGATCTCTCTGAAATTGTACTGCAAGGTACCATACCACAAAGGGAAGGCTGGGATTGAGTTTGGGGGTGATGAATCATAAGGGGGTTCAAAAAATTTGGGGGGGGGATTTTTTTTTTTTCCTGTTTTTTTCTTGTTATTTCTGATTTATATTTAAAAGCAAATAATAATGATATGGTAGGAGATACACACCAAACAGGATGTTTAAATTATTATATAATAAGTATTGTGCAATAGCAAGAAATTTTCAATTGCACAGTATTGCACAATAGCAAGAAATCTTCAATTGCACAGTATTGCGCAATAGCAAGAAATCTTCAATTGCACAGTATTGCGCAATAGCAAGAAATATCCAATAGCACAATATTGCGCAATAGCAAGAAATTGTCAATTGTACAGTATTGCGCAATAGCAAGAAATATTTAATTGCACAGTATTGTGCAAAAGAAGATACTTCATATAAATTGCTTATTTCTTGACCAATTTCAATGGGGTTTTATTCTTGAATTCTTGGGGTTCTTTAATATGCTGAATCTAACCGTGTATTTAGTTTTTGGATTTTGGGCCCCGTTTTTAAATTGGTCCACATTGAGGTCCAAAGGGTCCAAAATTAAACTTTGTTTGATTTCATCAAAAATTGAATTATTGGGGTTCTTTGATATGCCGAATCTAACCGTGTATTTAGATTCTTAATTTTTGGTTCCGTTTTCAAATTGGTCTACATTAAGGTCCAAAGGGTCCAAAATTAAACTTAGTTTGATTTTAACAAAAATTGAATTCTTAGGGTTCTTTGATATGCTGAATCTAAACATGTATTTAGATTTTTGATTATGGGCCCAGTTTTCAAGTTGGTCAAAATCGGGGTCCAAAATTAAACTTGTTTGATTTCAACAAAAATTGAATACATGGGGTTCTTTGATATGCTGAATCTAACCATGTATTTAGATTTTGGATATTGGACCATAATAGGTGAATATCCAATTTAAAATTTTTAAGTTCTTAGACCACATTCATTCTGTGTCAGAAACCTATGCTGTGTCAAATATTTAATCACAATCCATATGCAAAGCTGTATCAAGCTTGAATGTTGTGTCCATACTTGCCCCAACTGTTCAGGGTTCGACCTCTGCGGTCGTATCAAGCTGCGCCCTGCGGAGCATTTTATTAAATCTTAACCGGATGTTATCTTGACAAAGGTAAAACATAGACCAGAGACGGATATGTAAATTCCGTGTACGTTTGCAAAGTATGAATGAGTGCAAGTAGCTCTTTCTACGTTATTTCTTCAAGAAAATATTCGAAATAAACATGAGATAAAGGTATCAATGACAATTTAAGCATTTTTTGAAGAAATAAGGATGCATAATTAAATTTCACACCTGCGCACATGCGCACACGTGTACTAGTTCAAACAGAGACATTTCTCTGGTTCAAACAACGTGGTTATGACGATTTTTCATTTTCAACTTTTTAATTTTTTCATCAAATCATATTTGTAAAAGTATTTCTGATAATTTAAATCTTTTTAATTAAATTAATTAGATGCAAACCACGAAATGTAAGAAAATAACTTTGAATAGACAGATCAATGTCCGGTTCAAAATAGTTTACCTGTCACCTGAACAGGTAAATTTCAGCTGTTCGACAACTAATTAGCCTTGATTAAAATGAGAAGGTATTAAAGTAGGGGTTGTTTTGATAGTACTTAATGATCATGTCACTTTTATGACCGGAAATGTGTGGCTGTTAAAGGCAAAAGGTTGGGTCAAAAAGATCGCGAAATATGTTAAAATGACCGTCTCTTAAGCCTTGAAAACTAAAAAGTAGATGTCCGTTTCATGCTTTGCCCAGCCGGACTTTTACCGGACATTATACAAATGTCCGGAATATATGACCGTTTTGGAAGCCTTGGTACAGTGTAATAATTTTTCAGTAATACAGAGATTTCTTTCGTTGAAATCAAATACGTTGTTACATACACAGGCGAATCGAACAAGTTGAGATATATAAACACCATAATATGGTGACAAGGGAACGTCACCATCTAAAAATGGATAATTAACAATAGGAAATGAAAAATCATCTCTTTTATCATAAATAAGCTTCCCGTTAAAAGATAAAGATATCAAGATTCAGGAAAGGGCAGTGTTCATTGTTAGTATTAGCTTTATATAAGTCAGTTCGGCAGGATAAATCTCTTTAGTGTACATACTGAAGTCGTCATTATTGAGATAAAATTGAGAATGGAAATTGGGAATGTGTCAAAGAGACAACAACCCAACCATAGAGCAGACAACAGCCGAGGGCCACCAATGGGTCTTCAATGCAGCGAGAAACTTCCGCACCCGAAGGCGTCCTTCAGCTTGCCCCTAAACAAATATGTATACTAGTTCAGTGATAATGGACGTCATACTAAACTCCAAATTATACACAGGAAACTAAAATTAGAAATGATACAAAACTAACAAAGGCCAGAGGCTCCTGACTTGGGACAGGCGCAAAAATGCGGTGGGGTTAAACATCTAAATATCTAAAAGTGTTATTAAATTTTTGAATCAGATGTTGTTTCGATGGGACATTGCTGATTTTAGTCATAAATTGTAACTCATAACAATACAGAAACAGGTCGGCAATAAGTGGTGCACTGTTAGTCCCCATGGGAATTCCGATAACCTGACGATATACGGAATCTCCATAGCGAACAAAAATGTTATCTAGTAAAAATTCAAGGGCAGTTATAGTATCAAAGCAGGTCCAATTGACATAGTTCTTTTGTTTGTTGTTACTAAAAAATGACCTAAAAGAGTTTGAACATATATATTCGCATTCCGACTTTTTAAATGCCCATTTAATAAGGTGTGTGATTTTTTTCTTAATAAGATTATGAGGCAACGTGGTTTATAGGGTAGAAAAATCAAAACTTTGAACAGATTCGAAATCACCAATATAAGCATGTAATTTATCAAGTACTTCCAACGAATTTTTGACACTCCAAAAGTAATTAATTCCACTATTTTTAAAGGCCTTATTTGAACAATTTATTACCAGGTTTTTGATTGTACCAAGTGTACTAGTTAGTAGAATAGATAGTTTAGTAGTGGAACAATGGCTTGAAGACGAAATAAATCTATATTTGTAAGGAGTTTTGTGCAGCTTCAGAAGCCAGTACATAGTTGGAACTTTCATTGTGTTTGGTTCTGCTTGTAAAGAGGTAGCTAAAAGTTTGTTTGTTACAGATGTCGTTTTCTGAAAATGGAGTCAGTTGGAATGTTGGTGAATTCGTGATTTCCTTTTGTAGAACATCAATGTAAACAAACAATAATGATATTGTTAGCAGCCTTATAGGCTATCTATTCTTGTTCACTAAATACAGAAAGGCTGTTATTTATATTTTGATATTTTTGGCAATACTGCGGAATTAAATACACACCAATTCAACTGCAATACCAATTTCGCGAGTTTTTGGAAGTAGGGGGTATAATGGTTTCTGGTCCATCCATTAGTCTGTCCCATATCATGTTAGAGTTTTTGGAAGTAGAGGGTATAATGGTTTCTGGTCCATCCATTAGTCTGTCCTATATCATGTTAGAGTTTTTGGAAGTAGAGGGTATAATGGTTTCTGGTCCATCCATTAGTCTGTCCTATATCATGTTAGAGTTTTTGGAAGTAGGGGGTATAATGGTTTCTGGTCCATCCATTAGTCTGTCCTATATCATGTTAGAGTTTTTGGAAGTAGGGGGTATAATGGTTTCTGGTCCATCCATTAGTCTGTCCCATATCATGTTAGAGTTTTTGGAAGTAGAGGGTATAATGGTTTCTGGTCCATCCATTAGTCTGTCCTATATCATGTTAGAGTTTTTGGAAGTAGGGGGTATAATGGTTTCTGGTCCATCCATTAGTCTGTCCTATATCATGTTAGAGTTTTTGGAAGTAGGGGGTATAATGGTTTCTGGTCCATCCATTAGTCTGTCCCATATCATGTTAGAGTTTTTGGAAGTAGAGGGTATAATGGTTTCTGGTCCATCCATTAGTCTGTCCCATATCATGTTAGAGTTTTTGGTTACAGTAGTTTGCCATGTAGTTGTGGTCACATCAACTTGGAACTTGGTACATATGTTTATTATGGTGTGAAATTTTATGCTGAATTATGAGTTTGATCACAATTTCATGGTTCACTGACAAAAGAAATGAGGTAGTGAGAAATTATGTACATTCTCAGGTTAATTTTTTTTAGCTAAGGTAGTTTATCATGAAGTTTTAGTGGCATCAACTTGAAAATTAGTATCATTGTGAAGTGGAATTTAAAGTTTACAATTTCTTGACCTTATTTTATTTTATTTCATTTCTAGGAAATCTGAAAACTCATGAAAAAATCCATGAAGATGAAAAACCATTTAAATGTGATTTTAATGGATGTGGGAAAGCCTTTAGAAGTAATGAAAGTTTGAGAAGACACAGATTATCACATATGGGTTTGTTTCTATGAATATTATAAATCAATAATGGTCATGCAAATAAATAGGGATTTCTCATTATCCATTTTAAGTTGTAATTACATTTACTTTTGAAAACTGAACATATTCATTGTTTGTTTGTGATATACATATATGTCTTAATATGTGACAACTTTACAACAGATGTTCTCCATTGGATAATCTGTGATAACACACAGCTAATACCATAATTTATATATACTTCTCAAATTTAGCCTAACAATGTTAGATCTGCAAAGGAGTAGGTTCGATAAGGCCCTAACATGGCCCCTAATTCTAGCTACAATTTCAAATTAGGATTTATTGACCAATATCATAATGAATCATAGCCAATACTGTGACTAGATAGAAAATATGTCTTTTTGTTGAAAATATCGAACTTGGGTTCTATTCATGACATTACAAATACCACTCATTGATTTTTCACGAAAATTCAATGAAAAGGGGTAAATTTCCATTGATTTTTTTTTACAGGAAACATAGAGCACATGCGTCAACAAAAAAAGATCTTTTCACATAATGTTTGTTATAACACTTCCCATATCTGACTTGAATATTTAGTTTGTTGATGCCTGTGCTCTATGTTTCCTAGGCCCTAATTTGGTTGAAATCCATACCATTTTATTTTGGCCTATTTTGGATGTAAAAACCAATGCTTTGAAATAAAAACTTGGACAAAAATAAGTTCTATTTAACTTCCTCAAATGTCTTTTTCATTAGCTTAGAACATTTTTTATGCTGAAACTTTGAACTATATAGTATAAATATGGCCCTTACCTAACTTGCTCCTTTGTGTTAGCAAATTTTTGTTCTTCCCTCAGCAGGATTATATATATATGTATATTCATTGAAGTGTAGACACAATGGTTTTATGAATTGCCACAATATATAGTGGTTGTGGCCAAATTAATTGACATAGTGATTTGTAGTGGCATGCCATAATCTGCCATATGTATATATATTTTGGATAACATTGATTTCCTTGAAACATCCATTATATTCTATCATGTCATTAACAACCTTCCACTACAAACTTATCATGGCCTGCCACCATTAAAATATTGGAAAGTCTAAAAACCTCCAAACATGATCTTCATGAAGAATTATGATCTTTTTATAATAAAACTATGTCCTTGATTAAAATATTGTTTGTTGCAGAAATAATTGAGTTAATGTAATGAAAATAGACAAGTATATTATATTTCACATCATAGAGTTGACGAAATGAAAATTCACAAGTAAATAAGATTTCACTGTATTTAACACATCTTTATTTCAGGTATCAAACCATTTGAATGTTCTATCTGTAAGAATAAATTTGCTAGTAATGTAAGCCTTCAGGAACATATATCTCGGCATACAGATGAGAAACCGCATCAGTGCCACATCTGTCAGAAGAACTTCCGTCAAGTCAGCTGTTTACGTCGACATCTCTTCACACATTCTTCTGAACTGCCATTTTCCTGCCATGTATGTGGACGCAAATTCTCACAGAATGTTTATCTGAGGTCACATATGAAAGTTCATACTGGTATTTAATATTTATGATAGCCTATTTAAAATGTTACAATGTGCTTTTAAAGAAGCTATTCTTATTTTTTTATTAATGATAATGTGTTAAATTTATCTGTTAGAATTGATATAAAATAATTTCTTTTTATAAGATAAATTCATTTTACAGTTTAGGATTGTGAAAAAGTTTAGTAGCATTGTAAATGAAGATTAATCAAATTTTAATTAAATAAAGGATATATTTCTTCACATCATGCAACTGAATCCAGTCAGTTAACAAACCACTTTGAAAGTTTTCTTTCTTCAATAAAAATCATTTGATTGAAAATATCAATTTTTTTCACAATATTCTCTGTTAGCAAAGTTTTCTATTATATAATTGGCCCCGGCACGACATGTTGAGGGGAACATAGAAATACCAAGGTTCAGTCTGTCTGTCCATATCTTAAATTTTTTGTAGGTTTGTTATGATATTTATATCAAATATTTATATCAGTTATGATAGAAAGATAGATAGATAGATAGGTAATTTATTTTATTAAAGTGTCACCATCCATTACAGTATCTATATATAAATACACAAAGTCATAAGAACCTAACATTTAGTTAAAGGATGCCGGCCCAAAACAACTTATGAGACACTATCATTAAAACAGACATCTAATACATATATAAAAAGACTTAAAAAGACAACATTTTATACATGTAAAAAGTATTTCGTAAATGAACAAAAAAGACATATATTACTTCTAGATTACAACATGTTTTCTTCTGAAAAACATAGAATGAAACTAGCTAAAAGAGGAACCATATTCTCATTACACATAAGATAATGGAGTTTTTCAGTATCGCATAAATAATCAAAATCAACATTTAAAAGACAGGCTTTGGCATATAATTCATGTCTGATATCAGAGTAGAAACAACAATTAAAAAGAAAGTGCTCCTCATCCTCAATTTGGCCACTATCACAAAAATACACATAATCTTGTAGAGGTTCTGGTGGTCTAGAATATTGACCTGTTATAACTTTAAGTTGTAACAAACCAGCTCTTAATAGTGAAAAAAATACATCAGTGGCATCTATTAGTAACAAACTTTACATAAGGCTCCGTACCAATACAAGTTTTAAACAATCTATAAAACCTGAATTTAAGTTATGTCTGGGATGAATTAGAAATTCAGGACTGATCAATTATTTTTACGGAGTTATGTCCCTTAGAAATATAAATTCTAATTAAATTCAATTGTTAACGCTCACAAATGTTCAATTATTGTCAAATATTTATGAAGTTTATATCAAGGTTATATACCAGTAAGTTTTTTGAAGAGTGCCGACCAACTATTTTACAGAAACTATTCCCTTTGGAAATAGAATATATGGAAAATAATATTGTCAGCAATCTCATGCCTACATTTCTTGTAAGATATTTGTAAAAAAGTTAAAATGAACCAAAAACAATTTTTTTTTCAGTTATTGCCCTTGAACAGACAAATAAGTGCAATGCAAAAGACATTGGAACTCTGTTCTTCTATTGTTATGGAAAATACTTAAATAATTAAAAAAAATCAAAGAAAAATTTACCTAAAAACTGAATTGTGACCATTTCTCAAAGGATTTTCTGTAAATATTTTTGTACTACATTCTATCAAATAAACTTCAATTTTTATTTTTTTTTGTAAATTTTTAATGGTTTTTTGTAAAGCATGCATTTGTGGTTACACAGTTTTTATGAAACATATTTAGCTCACCTGACAAAGGGCCTAGTGATCTTTTCTCATCACTTGGCATCCGTCATTCTGTCGTTAACTTTTTCAAAAAATTTCTCCTCTAAAACTACTGGTCCAATTTTAACCAAACTTGGCCACAATCATCATTAGATTTAGTTTAAAAAAAGTGTGTCAGATGACCCCAACCTGCCAACCAACATGGCCAACAGGGCTAAAAATAGAATATAGAGGTAAAATGCAAGTTTTGTCTATCACCAAGACAAGATCTTCAATTAAGACACATGAAAGAAATAGTCCGACGGCTCCTTATTGGAGTTATTGCCCATTTATGAAAATTTTACCATTTTTTTTGTGTTTTGCCATACATTATGAAAATTATAATAGATAAATAGACACTTTAAATCACAAAAATGATCAGCAAGGCAAGATCTAATAACAAGTCAAATTTTGCTGATATAGTTAGTAGACTGTCACACTTTATAGGAGTGATTGCCCTGAAATGAGAATTTTTTTTTACCCTCTTTTGTGTTTTGAGCAAAAACCTAAAGAAGATAGAGAGGGACTAAACAGACTTAAAGATCAGCAATACAAGATCAACAAAACAGATAATTTTCTTGCTTTTTGCCTACCTGAAAAAATATAATAGATGGATAAAAACTTACCGTACATAAGCAAACTGATCAGCCAAATAAGAAAATAATATCTACAAATAAGTTCACATTGTTGAAATTGTCTGATGACCCCTTATTTGAGTTATTGCCCTTTAATGACGATTTTTACTTTTTTTTGTGTTTTAGCCTAATATCTGAAAAAATATAATTAAATAGATAGAAACTTAGAAAAGTAAAAATGATAAGCAAGACAAGATCTTCAAACAAGTTTATTTGTTGAGATTGTCTGACAACCCTTATTGGAGTTGTTTCTCTTTAATGACGATTTTTACCAATTTTATGAGTTTTGCCTAATATTTGAAAAACTGAATTAGACAGATAAAACAGAAATAAGCAAAAAATTTCAGCAAGACTAAATCTACAAATAAGTCAACATAGCCAAAACTGTCTGGAGACTCCATATTGGAGTTCTTGCTCTTTATTGATGATTTTTACCAATATTTTATGTTTTTGCCTATTATCTTGAAAACTGTAAAAGATAGATAGATACTTTGAATAGCAAAAATGATCAGCAAGACAAGATCTACAAATTTTGCCAAAATCATTAGTACACTCCTTATAGGTTGCCCTTAAATGACAATTTGTTTACCTTTCGTTGTGTTTTGGGAAAAAATTAAAGAATATGGAAAGAAACTGAAAACAGAAAAAATTATCTGCAATACAAGATCAACAGAAAAGAGATTTTTGTCATGAATTATATTCTAGTCCACAATGTTGGAGAGTTTCCATTGTTGAAGATGCACATAGACCTAGGTGAGCGACACAGGCTCTTTAGATCCTCTAATTTGGATTTAACAGTTCAATTTTAAGTTTTTTGGCTTTTTGAAACAAAATCATGATTATGCAAAATTAACTCAATTGGTACAAAAGAAATTTACTAAGTCAAAACAAGTAAAATTTTCAATTCCACCTGTCACAATAAATGATCTATTTAATGAGATGATCAAACTTGACATTAGTAAATCCACCGGATCTGATAACAAAGGACCAAAAATTTAAAAATTGAGTGCTCCCTTCATAACTTCATCTTTAACTTACATTTTTAACAGAATAAAAGATACAAGTACATTACCCAGTGTTATAAAGAATGCAAGAGTAACCCCTGTTTTTAAAGCTGGGGAAAAATTCATGGCAACAAATTATAGACCAATTTCTGTACTTCCTGTTTTATCAAAACTTTTAGAAAAGCATGTTTCAAAACATTTGTATGACTATCTAAAAAGATTGGATCTTTTACACCCAGCACAGTCTAGGTTTCGACAAGAACACTCTTGACAAACTGCCCTTATCAATATCATAGATAAATGGGTACAGGATATGAATGAAGGTTATATCAACTTAGCAGTCCTGTTGGATTTTAAGAAAGCTTTTGATGTAGTAGATCATGATATTCTCTGTAAAAAACTTGAAATTTATGGATTTGATAATGCTGCTGTTTCTTTTTTTCAAATTGTATTTGAATGGAAGAACTCAACAAGTACCGTACAAATTGATAATGCTCATTCCGAAAAACTTTATATCAAGTATGGTGTCCCCCAAGACTCAATATTAGGGCCCCTTCTGTTTATATTATACATAAACGACCTTCCTGATTTATATGCTGATGATTCAACTAGTCATAAAACAACACCAGTGGTATTTTAGATTACACATTGTTTCTGGTAAAACCACAAAATTTGCTATTATGAAATAGGATGAATTAACTTAAGTTGACCTATAGCTGTACAATGGAGCCTATGGGACTGCAACCAGAGTATAAATCTCAATAACTGAAAATTTTACCACAGCTATCTATTGTATAATTTTCACAATTATACCATGGTTTTGTTGTATCTGGACTTCAAAGAAAAAAAGAAACGAAACAAGACCTGGCCACAGACGGCTAAACTTTTTTTTACATAGGAACAATAGTCAGCGTGGGGCCACTAAGCTAAACTGCCCGCTTTGCACCAGCCAGTATAAATGAATGCCTAGAGTGGGAATCGAACCCACTTACGCCAACTGTGTTGTCCTATATTTTGAAATGAACAGCTTTTTATTTATATATATTTATACTAGAAAATATAAGTTGATTCTTCGGTTATTGAGATGTATACTTAGATTGTATTCTCATAGACTCCATTGTACAGCTGTAGATTTAAAAAAGTGAATACACCACTGACTTCTAGACTTTAACAAGGTTACTTAATACTTATACTTTAAATTAATATTTAAATTTAAAAACAAAAACATTTCGAGAAATAATAAAAAAAAAATAAAAATAACCCTTTGAAGTTTCAACTTTTAATCTGGGATTCTGGAAATCTTTCAAAATATCAGTGATTTAGGCTTATGTCTGTTTTTGTCATTACAAAGCATATCCAGAACATCTGATTCCTTCAAAATTTCTTGTCTGTAACGATATCTGGCACCAATGTAATTTTGTGCATCCATCACTGTCGAAGAATCTTGTCTAACTGATATTTCTGCTGTTTAAGAACCACATGCTTATTTTAGAAAGTAGGCATAGCTTTAAGTGTAATGCCTGAAAAGGATAATTTAACTGATTCTTTTCAAAATTATTTTAAAAGTAAACAAACAAAAAATATATGAAACAGCAAAAGATCCGATAGGTTATAACAGATATTCCATATTTTGGTATAATTTTTTGGTGTATCGCAAATTATATCATAGTTTTTGTTGAAATCCCTCAGCAACCTCACTTGACTTCGACTGATGAGGTTATTGACAGGGGTTTTAACAAAAGCTATGGTATAATTTATGAAACACTGCAAAACTTACCAAAAGATATGAAATATCCATAACTTCTTCTTCATATTTGTATATCAAAGACAAAGAATTGGGAAAAATCATCTACTTTCATGATAAAATGAAATTTATTTCTTAAAAAATGTTATAATACTCATAAAAATGAATGTATTTAAGTTTTTACGATTTCATTAGTCATGTTAGTGGCAGAAATCTTTATACTTTCTATCAAATCAAATATAATTTTTCTGTTCTGTTTAAGTTTTTATTCATGAATCATTGAGTTTTTTTTTCAGGATCATGAAGAAAATCATATTTCAACCCACACCAAAAACATTGAGTTATGTCTTACATGATATTTTGTATTTCAGGTGAAAGACCCTTTAAATGTACAGAGTGTGGGAAAGCATTTGCTCATCAGTCTGATCTAACAAGGCATAAAATTGTTCACACTGGTAATTATAATGTTATCTGATTCAACAAAAAACATAAGATAGTATTACCTTAACTTCTTTCCTTTAAATACATAGGCTCAAATAAAACAAACAATATATTCATATTGCCAATAACCCAGACAGCTAGAACAAATATAAAATATTATTGTCAACTCAGATCTGGTTATACATGTAGTTTGTCCAGTATATGTACATGTACATTCCATTAACTTATGTAGATTTAATTATATTTAATGAGAAAAAATTTCAATGCATTTAGATTTCTTCTCAGTTTATTCAAAATCTAGAGGTTGCATAACAACTATAGCATGTTGAAAATATTTATAATTTATGATACTGGTATATTATGTGATTTATGCATATCTCAACATATTTCAAATATTGTTAAAACCTGCATATTGTTGAACAATCTACTAGATACACACATTTGAATGGACGCTATAGTGGCAGAAAGTCATTTCAAATAAATTATTTACCATGTTTACACCATATTTTTATGCCCCCGCCAAAGCGAAGGGGGCATTAAGTTTTACTCTTGTCCGTCCGTATGTCCCAAAGTTGGTTTCCGTTCTCTAACTTTAGATTGTCTCAACCAAATATTATGAAACTTATACACAATGCTTATTACCACAAAATACAGATCAAGTTTGAATTTTGGTGGCGTCACTTTAACCGTTCTAGAGCTATGCCCCTTTTTTTCAATTGCTGAATTTTTCGTTTCGGTTCTCTAACTTTAGTTTGCCTCAACCAAATGTTATGAAACTTATACACCATGCTCATTACCACAAAACACAGATCCAGTTTGATTTTTGGTGGCATCACTTTTACCGTTCTAGAGTTATGCTCCTTTACAAATGGAAAAATTGCTGAATTTTTTGTTTCCGTTCTCTAACTTTAGTTTGCCTCAGCCAAATGTTATGAAACTTATACACAATGCTAAATACAACAAAACACAGATCAAGTATGAATTTTGGTGGTGTCACTTTTACCGTTCTAGAGTTATGCCCCTTTACAAATGGAAAAATTGCTGAATTTTTCGTTTCCGTTCTCTAACTTAAGTTTGCCTCAACTAAATGTTATGAAACGTATACACAATGCTTATAATACAAAACTCAAATCAAGTACAACTTTGGGTAGCGTCACTTTTACAGTTCTTGAGTTTTGTCCCTTTATAACGTTATATGCAAGCGGGGGCATCATCTGTGTCCAATGGACACATTCCCCATTTATTTTTCTTGAACTAGAAAATCAAAAATTATTATAAATCTAACAAACCACATCCTTCATATGTTCTTTGCACATGAGTCTTTCAGATATAACTCTATTTTCAATTTTGTCTTGTTTATATGCTGTAGGGCGTTAAACCTATTGCATTTCATGTAAAACTTCTGAGATAAACTCATTGACAGTTTGTCATTGAATAATCAAATTTGAGCTACAAGATGTTTAAACATACAAAGATGACAATGTGGATAAAATATCTTTTTAGGTAGCTTTAATGCCAAAACATCTGTTGAAATGTACATTTTAAGTAAAATATGTCAATTTTTACAAATTTATGAAATTCATTGATTTCTGCACTATGGTTTCCAGAAAATCATAACCACACACATAATTTATTGCTTTTGATTTTGAGAATTTCAGTAAGGTTATCATTGATATTTTTCTCCAGAAAATCGTAGCTATATTTCTGCAGTTGATCATCTTGATTGATATAAACAATTTATGATGCTATATTATGTACAACAAAATAACAGGTATCTGCACTTTCTTTGTGAATCATTTGTAGGCCGTAAACCTTATGCCTGTGAAGTTTGTAATGCCAAGTTTAGTGATCCATCAAGTAAAAGAAGACACGAGAAAGAACATGTGGGAGCAAAACCTTATGTTTGTCAGTTGTGCTTTGAGTCATTTAAACGTGGGGGACAACTAAAAACTCATCTAAGTAGGAAACACACAAATCAGAAAGAAGAAGTTCAAGTCATTCAGAAAGATGGATTATTACAATTCATATACAAGGATGGAAATTGTCAAACTATTCCTGTGTCACAAGCTGACAACTTAGAACAAGTAAAAGATAAGAAAATAGTCAAGTTAATAAAAGATTTGAACAACAAAATGGTCCAACATGTTCATATAGGCCTTCCCCAAGAGGCTGAAATTGATTCAAATATAGAGGAATTAGCAGCCATTGAAACAGTTGTCATGGAAACTGAACAGGAAAACAGTGATGATCTAATGCAAAATATTTCAGGAATGACAAACACAGACAGTAGTAAAAATATTAAAGTTGAGACTAAAAATAGTGATGATGAAACAGTGATTACTATTGCGGAAGTTCAGGATTTTCAGGAAGTTTCTGGGTCAGAGGTACCAGTAGAATATTTACAAATTATAAATGGTGTTATCCCAGAATCAGAAAACCAGGAAGTTGTTGTTTTACCTTACAATCAAGGGGAGGAAATTCAGTCTGAATCAATCACTACTGAGGAGGTCTGTGTGATTGGCAAGGAAATTTCTGAACAAGAAAAGAATGACTCTATCATAGAGGTCACAGCAGATGATGACACTCAGGGAGTTGATTATGTTGCAAACCCAGATTTTAACAGTCAGCAGTATTATAACTGGTTATCAAGTTTTACAGAACTATGTAAAGTTATGCCAATGCCTTTAGATCTGTCTTTATTTCAGAAAATTAACCAGGTTCACAAAACATTATCAGATGTGATGGCAACACCATCAGGGGTTGTGGCTGACAAAGAAAATTTTAAAATTCTCATGAATATTTCTCAGGAATTGAATAGTATTATAAATGAACATTTGTTCCATGTGATGCAAAATTTAGACACTGAAAAATGATTTTGAAAACAAAAAATATTTTTAAGCTAGTGAGAATCTGAGATTTTCAGTCTTGCATTTATTGTTATTTAATTCTTTATGGTTACAAATGTATTTATTTCAGTTTCTTTGATTATGTCAATAAATTTTAAACTAGCACATATAGCCAACAATTGAGTTAGAGATACATCCACAGAAATGCAGTAGAAAATAGTACCACATCAAACATTTCATAGATGTTTGATAAGAAAAATAAGATTGCTACACCATAGCAAAATGTCCCCTGAAAATACAGTCACAAGGTGTTAGAATGCTGCAATAGGCTGAGGATAGTCTATGTCAAAATCCAATAACTACAGCAGAACATTTCAAATTAAAAAATCAAGAAGAGTATCAACTAAACATATTAAAAAACAATCCTACAGAGTGAAAGCTTTCAGACACACAGCCTAGGAAGAATCTTAAGAGGCCATGTCAGCAAGCACTGAGCTTTGAATTGAATGTAAAAAAAATCATTGTTTCATAAAAATGTTATTTAATGATGTGTTGCATGTAATTTAAAATGATGAAAATGGTATATCTTTTTAAATTCAATGAATTCCATGGCAACAAGTTTCATTTCCTGAGATACTTGTAAAAATACCACCCAAAAATGTGGTAAAATATGGATTTTTCAAAGTTAAGCAGAAAATCAATAATGTTAAAAAGTAATTTCTCAACTCTTATATTGTACAGAGGACATCTTGCCTTGCTATAATTAGGGCCCTGCCGAATGGCGGACGCCCTATAGTGATCAGTCTGTCTGTCCGTCCGTCCGTTAAAATTGTGTCCACTCTATATCTAGCAGAACATTTCAAATTAAAAAATCAAGAAGAGTATCAACTAAACATATTAAAAAACAAGATGTCGTTATGATTTCAAAGTTTATACTTCACATGTATATTAACCAACACCAGAGGGTGTGTCATAATGTAAGTTCAACTTCCTAGGTCAATGGTCAAGGTCAAAAACTTTGGTTTCAGTTGTCAACTCCATGTCCTATGGTAAAGATCGTGTCCGCTCTATATCTTGAGAACCGTTATGATTTCAAAGTTTATACTTGACATGTATATAAACAAACACCAGAGGGTGTGTCATAATTTATGTACAACTTCCCAGGTCAAAGTTCAAGGTCAAAAACTTTGGTTTCAGTTGACAACCCCATGTCCTATGGTAAAGATACAAATTTTTTAACGCACATGATTCACAGCGGGACCCACAGAGATGGCTCCCATCTCAATGATATCTTGTTTGCACAGTATTGGGCAAATTGATATTTTTGGAGCATTGCTATGGCAACCTGAAATAGTAGGGTTTTTATACGCCCGTTTACGGGACGTATTATGGTATACCGCTGTCCGTCCATCCGTCCGTCTGTCCGTCATCAACATGTCCGACATTAATTCAAAAATGTTTTAACCAATATGCATGAAACTTTGGTGAATTGTATATATCTATTGACGTGAGCTCCCTTTCTTTTTTTATAAATTTCAGATTTACCATTTCTGAGTTTTGGGGTTTTATTCATTAAAAAAGGGGGGATTTTTCAGTTTTCGGACAATAACTCAAAAACAGTTTCACCAATTTGCATGAAACTTTTCTGAATTGTTCATATCTATTGACGTGAGCTCCCTTTTGTTTTATATAAATTTCGGATTCACCGTTTCCAAGTATTGGGGTTTTATTCATTAAAAAAGGGGGGATTTTCCAGTTTTCGGACAATAACTCAAAAACAATTTCACCAATTTGCATGAAACTTTTGTGAATTGTTCATATCTATTGACGTGAGCCTCCTTTCGTTTTTTATAAATTTAGGATTTACCGTTTTCGAGTTTTGGGGTTTTATTCATTAAAAAAGAGGGGATTTTCCAGTTTTCAGACAATAACTCAAAAACAATTTCACCAATTTGCAAGAAACTTTGGTGAATTGTTTATTTCTATTGACATGAGCTCCTTTTGATTTTTATAAATTTCAGAATATTTATTTATGGGGTTTTATTCATTACAAAAAGGGGGATTTTCCAGTTTTCGGACAATAACTCAAAAATGCTTTCAGCATTTTTTATGAGACTTTGGTAAATTGTTTATATCTATTTTTGTAAGCTCCCTTTTGATTTTAATAAATTTTCGATTTTACATTTCAGAGTTATAAGATTTTATTTGTTTATAATCTGACAACACATGTACTAAGTATTGCGCAACAGCACAGTGTATTGCACAACAGCAAAAAATCTTTCATATAACCAATTTCAAGTTCTTTGACTACATTTATTCAGAAACCTATAATATATCAAATACTTAATAACAATCCAAATTCAGACCTGTACCAAGCTTGAATATTGTGTCCATTTTTGCCCCGACTATTCAGGGTTGGACCTCTGCGGGCGTATCCAGCTGCGCACAGCGAAGCCGTTTATTGAATTTTGAAAACTGTTTAAAATCACATAACATTAGTACAGGTACAAACAACTAGTTGAAAGAATAAAATTGGGTAAACGTTCAAAAATGTAAATTTGTGGCCCCTACAAAAAATCAGATTTCTCAATGTTTTTTTATAAAAGGAACATATGATCTTCCAATATATTCAAATAAGAACCTTGTATTATAAACTTGTATTATAAAGTCAAGACTCTTAACAACACATTGGGTTCATAAATGAACAATCTGAAATAAAATTGTTGCTTAGAAACACATGTTAATTCCTAAATAATGGAGTTCAATGTTAAGAACCAAGTACAGATAATTTTTATGCCCCCGCGGTAGCGGAGGGGCATTAAGTTTTACCCTTGTCCGTCTGTACGTAGGGATGTATGTATGTACCTCCAAAAGTTGGTTTCCGTTCTCTAACTTTAGTTTGCCTCAACCAAATGTTATGAAACTTATACACAATGCTTATTACCACAAAACACAGATCAAGTTTGAATTTTGGTGGAGTCATTTTTACTTCTCTAGGGTTATGCCCCGTTACAAATGGAAAAATTGCTGATTTTTTCGTTTCCGTTCTTTAACTTAAGTTTGCCTCAAATTAATGTGTAGGAATGTATACACAATGCTTATTTTGGTTCTCAAACTTAAGTTTGCCTAAACCAAATTTTATGAAACTTATATTATTAACATCTATATTATCAGCAATCAAAGCCGGGCTCCAAAGTTATTGTGAAACTGCCTATTCTAGAGGTGGCGTGAATCAGATGTGGATACTAAAAAATTCCAAAGATCTTTTAGAGTACATACAATCTAAGACTCTCTCATCTTGCAATAGTCTTAAAACATTTGACTTTTCTACACTTTACACAAGTATTCCCCATTCCAAACTAAAAGACAAATTGAAAGAGTTGGTATTACTTTGTTTCATTAAAAAGAATGGCGAACGTAGATACAAGTATCTTGTCTTGGGGAGGGATAAATCCTACTTTGTAAAGAATCACTCTGATTCAAACAAAAAATTTTCTGAAACTGACATTTTCAAGATGCTTGATTTCTTGATTGACAACACATATTTGTTATGTCTGGAGGACGTGTTTTTCAACAGACTGTCGGAATTCCAATGGGAACCAATTGTGCCCCTCTTCTTGCCGACTTGTTTCTTTATCACTATGAGGCTGACTTCATACAAGAACTTCTTAGAAGAAAGATAAGATGTTAGCAATATCCTTTAACTTTACGTTCCGCTATATAGATGATGTTCTCTCACTAAATAATACAAAATTTGGTGACTATGTTGAACGAATCTATCCCATCGAACTAGAGATAAAGGATACTACAGATACAGTTGAGTCTGCCTCATATCTTGACTTTCATCTAGAAATTGACAATGAGGGTCGGTTGAAAACAAAACTTTACGACAAAAGAGATGATTTCTGCTTCCCAATTGTGAACTTTCCATTTCTATGTAGCAATATTCCAGCAGCCCCTGCATACGGAGTATATATCTCCCAATTGATACGATATTCCCGGGCTTGTATTTCCTATCATGATTCCCTTGGTAGAGGATTGCTGCTCACAAGGAAGCTATTAAACGAAGAGTTCCAAATAGTGAAGTTGTAATCATCCCTTCGTAAATTTTACGGACGCCATCACGAGTTGTTTGACCGTTATGGAATAACCATTTCACAGATGATATCGGATATGTTCCTTATGTCGTAACTACAATACCCTTCCCTTTTCACGAATGTGACCTACCGAATTAGACTATTACCGGATTTGTAATAACATAAGCAACACCACGGGTGCCACATGTGGAGCAGGATCTGCTTACCCTTCCGGAGCACCTGAGATCACCCCCAGTTTTTGGTGGGGTTCGTATTGCTTAGTCTTTAGTTTTCTATGTTGTGTCATCTGTACTATTATTTGTCTATTTGTCTTTTTATTTTTGGCCATGGCGTTGTCAGTTTGTTTTCGATCTATGAGTTTGACTGTCCCTCTGGTATCTTTCGTCCCTCTTTTATACACAATACTTATTACCACAAAAATCAGATCAAGTACAAATTTGGGTAGCGTCACTTTTCCAGTTCTTCAGTTATGTCCCTTTATAACTTTATATGATATGCAAGTGGCATCATCTGTGTCCCATGGACACATTCCCCATTTATTATGCCCCGCCGTAGCGGAGGGGGCATTAAATTTTACCCTTGTCTGTATGTACGTCCCAAAGTTGGGTTCCGTTTTCTAACTTTAATTTGCCTCAACCAAATGTTATGAAACTTATACACAATGCTTATCACCACAAAACACAGATCAAGTTTGAATTTTGGTGGCGTCACTATAACCGTTCTAGAGTTATGCCCCTTTACAAATGGAAAAATTGCTGAATTTTTCGTTTCTGTTCTCTAACTTTAGTTTGCCTCAACCAAATGTAATGAAACTTATACACAAAGCTTATTACCACAAAATACAGATCAAGTTTGAAATTGGGTGGCGTCACTTTTACCGTTCTTGAATTATGCCCCTTTATGAACAAAAAAATTGCTGAATTTATCGTTTCCGTTCTCCAAATTTAGTTTGCCTCAACCAAATGTTACGAAACTTATACACAATGCTTATTACTACAAAACACAGATCAAGTTTGAATTTTGGTGGCGTCACTATTACCGTTCTAGAGTTATGTCCCATTACAAATGGA